GCATAAACATGGTGTCAGAGTGATGAGATGTTCTCTCCATCCATCTGTTCTGCTGGCATTTATATCTTCAGAGGGCTACAATAGAGGAGAGAGGGATAGTGAGAGCACGAGAAAGACGGAGATAATCCGTTCAGTGAAGAAATTTCATGATATCGTTGGTTTTGTCTGTCAGTCGCCGCAGCAACAGAACTCTCGTCAGGTCACTCAAGGAGCTCCGAGGCTCCATTCTCATGTGATCTTTTAACATGTGTGAGGGTTTCTAAGTATCTGCGAGAGGATGTGTGCAAGTGAAGCTGCTGCGCGTCTTCCTGTGGATGTGGTTACGAGTTTCTGAGTGTTTTTTTTTAAGCCTTTGTGGATGTAGGAGAGTGTGTTTGAGAGGCACAGAGAGAGAGAGAGAGAGAGAGAGAGAGAGAGAGAGAGAGAGATATTTCATTGTTCTGTTCCTCCTTATCTACTGTCTCGGCAGAGAGCCCATGCTGTTTCCCCCCTCAGCGATGTGACCCGGCTGTGATACAGCAAGCCCTCCTCTCCGCAGATAACAGACCACCCTAAAAATACTCCTCTTTCTACCACTCTACTCTCTTCCCCTCTGTTCTCCTCACCTCTCCTGGCTGACTGTATCCTCCTGAGTCTCCCTGGCCAGGAGTTAGCTCTGCCAGACTGAAATACCTCTGGGCACTTCCTAATGTCACAGAGGTCTTTTAATTTTATATTTTCCCGTGTTTTCGTCTTTTACTACTCATTCTGTTGGTGGCCACGGATGTTACAGCGTTGGCTTGAACAGCAGAAGTGCAACTCGGACTGTTACATCACAAGTTTTCTTATAATTTTCCACAATAATTCCTCATCCCCCCCACAGCTACTTCAGTCACCCACACTCTGGACACACAGGGCAGATGGGATGTAGGAGGAGACAGTGAGGACAGAATCTGCTGGGCTCACATAATTATGCATCAAGCAATTTACCACAACTCCTTAATAAAATATTGAAGAGTGCATTGTTTTCTGTGCCTCACGGGTTTGACAGTCTGGAACGATGCTAATTATGATAAACTAGGCATTATTTTGAAGATCATGCTACAGCCAAGTGCTCTAAGAGCTTTTTCATCTCTCTGCTGTCTCCCTCGCTGCCTAAACTCTCCTCTGCTGTGAAGTGCTTTTAAGGACACTTACAATACCCCTTTCTGTAGTTTTGAGGAAGTTTCTTGCTAATTTAAAAACCTTTTATTCTAAACTCCTCTGCCACATTTGACATTTGGGGTTAGAAAGCCGTCGTTTTTGTTCTTTCTTTGTGTGTGCGTGCATCCTCGCCTTTCCTTTGGCCCAAACCCACGCAGGTGACCAGAGGGGGGCCTTGTGTGGGTGGACAACTCAATGGTGACCCCCTCTCTTTACCCTCACTCTCCCTCCTCTCCCCTCCCCTTCCCTCTTTTCTTGCCCTCCGTCCACCACTATGAGTCCAAAAAGAGGGAGGGGGGCCCAGGGGGAGGAAAACACCCACTCTCAGGCAAACGCACTGGCCAAAATGTTGCAACTGCCAGTATGACAGCTAAAACAGTTATTAGAATACATGTACAGTATGTCCTCTGATCATGAGGAAGTAGCTTCTGTAAAGATTAGAGACAAAGCATGAGAGGTGCTTGCAAGGAGTTTCTTGTGAAGTAGTGCTGAAATAATTACTTGGATTAATCAGTAAACAGAACATTAAGCAATTAGTATTAATTGTAGCAACTGTTAAAGCTGCACTAATCAAAATTTTTATATTAACAAAAGGTCAAATGTCTATGCATAATTTAAAAGCAGTCACTATTGACAAACCCACAAAGAGTTATCACACAACACTACAGTTCCTCTCATCTTTAAGGAGCATTTTAGCCTCTTTCAGCTCATTGTTTTGGTTTTACAGCCCAAAACTTGACTGTTCTGAGGCAGCAGAAGGCTGTTCTAAACAAGGAACCTCTGATTAACTAGCACCTAGCACCAGACAGCAGATCGACAAAGTTGTAAATGTAGTGGAGCATTTAGCAGCTAAAAGGGAAGTGAATATTGGACTTAAATTTAATAAGGCTACACGTCTGCTGGATGTGTAATAGGCAAATGATTGCTAACATATCAGCCAATCAAGTCGATAAATTTGTAAATTAAATAAAAAGAAAAAAAAATTGCTTTAAGGCAATGATGAAGTCAAAATAACAAATATTTCCAGAGTATGGCTTCTCATATGTTCTCTATTTCAAATCATTGTACACTGACATTTTTCAAACTGAACAATTTTGGGCTATTTATTAGTTATTTATTTCCTCAATCAGTTAATCTGATCTATAAAATGTAATAAAAAAGGGGAGAAAAAGACCATCACCATTTTCTACAGTCCAAGGTCATATTTTTAAATTGATAGTTTCAATTATTTAGACCAACAGTTCAAAAAAATATTTAACTTTCTGTTATAAAACGGGAGAAAATCTTCAGATTTGACAGGCTGAAACTGAGTTGTTGGCATTGTTCTTAAATAATGACATCAACAAATTGATTATCAAAATGATTTCCAATTAATTTTCTGTTGGTGGGCTCACTGATCAATCGACTAATCGTTTCAGTTCTATAAAGGTTAATTGATTGGAAAAGTAGTTTGAAATTTGGAAGTAGGGCTGCAACCTCACAGGAAGGTCTGTGTCTGTGGGTGCCTTTCATAAAGGAAGACCGGACAACGATAAGACTGTGTTTTACAGAGGATTAGCTGGGAGTAAGCTATCAAACCAGATGACTGTCCAGTTTATCACATTACCTGACCCTATCAGTACATGCAATAAGTTACACAAACATAAGCACAAACACACAGAAAGAGAGGGTGAAATAGAAGCCAAGATATTAACAGCTGCCTCTAATCTTGTGAAGACATCGTCCCACACTGTGTCTGACATTTGTTATCTGTTATTATGTTGAATTTAATGTTTCTCTGTTGCTGACAATGTGCTGAAAACACACACTTATTCTACAGTGTGAGAAATAAAAAGCCTGATTTGCATTGCACACATGATTAACAATCCCTATTGTCGATATGACAAATACTCAGACTGCTGTGGGACATTTCCTTGACGTCTCTCACCGCCCCAAACCAACACTGCCCCCCTATGGGTGACGATAGCAAAAACTACTGTTGGACATCATCAGATGCGACATGAGTTTGTGTGAGGTGCTGGACTGAGATGTGTGGGCCTGACTGCCAAGTGGGAGGACAGAGGAGGTTTCAAGGAGGCCACAACTTGGGCAAGTCATAACGAGAGCATAATCAGCCATGAGCTCAAACTCTCACAAAATGACAAAGCTCTGAACAGTCAAAACTAATTTAGGCTCACTGGATCAGACAAGGTGATGTTTCGGCTGTAAAAGACAAAAACAATGATGAAGTGTAACTACATCAAATTTAATATCAATGCAGACACTATATGTAGATATATGTAGATGTTAAAATCTGCCAAATCAATCAGCACAGAAACAACATTAACAATTATAACAGGGTTTTTTTCCTTCTGACAGTTATTCCCATAGACACACAATATGAACATTATAAACACAACAGCAGCAGTAAATTGTCAGTTCAGCTCATTCCCTTCCTGTCTAATTAATTCTATGAATTCCTGTATACTTAATTGGAAGAAAGAAGTTACTATGAAGTTGAGTCATGTCAGTTAAATATCTGGGGGCGCAGGAGATGAAAATTCAGCTAATTTCTGGCATGTACACACCTATTAATCATAGCTACTGTTTATGTGGTGAGACTTTGGAGACTCATTCAACTGGCAGCCGTGTCTCCGGCTGTCTCCACGCTACGATGACATGCATCTGCGCTTCTTGAGTATCCTTGAGCAAGACGCTGAACCCCTTTCAGCTATAGCAGTTGCCCTAATCTGTTGCTGGCCTTCACGCTCTCAATTTCCGTGTGAAAAGGCCAACCAAAAAATAGATTTATCTTTCAGGGATCAGTTGAGTACCACTCTGAGCAGTCTGCAAAGAAGGAGCAGAATTTTCCAATTTTCTCCTCTTATCTCATAAAAGAATAATCTGCAACAGTTTAGTGTTTATATGCCGTCTGGCAAAACATCAGGACTCAATCACGTACTGTATGTACTGTAAGTGTGGAAATAGAAAATCCACGGTGACTGTACAGCAGTCATGAATTCATTCATGAATGTGGCAGAAGCTGTGTTGATTTTTACAACTAGTCATTTACAGCTTGTAAATGTAGTTTTTCAGACATACAATACACTATAGAGCATTTACAACTTAAGATTTTGCACCTATCTAGGTCAGCTGAGCAACATTTGGGGTTGTCAGCTTTCTGCAGCCTAAATAGGTCATGCTAACGAGGAGAGGGGGTTTTGACAAGCCTCTCATACTCCATCAGTTCTCACCACAAAACAATCTCAAGACTGCTGATTATGTAAAACACCCTGACTACAGCTTTAAGCTACAATGTCAAATTATGACAGTGGATATTACAGTCATTTTTGTCACCACTAGAAAATATACGACGCGAGATAATATTTTGTGTCGCAAATTTCATTTAAGCAAAGTTATACCAGCGCAGAGAGCTAAATATGCAGCAATCTACTTTAGCTTTGGAGAAATCTAAATGAAGCGAGGAATGTGTGGCGATTAGAATCTGCTGTGCTGTATGTGAAGAACTTCACAGCGTGATTATTAACCCAGAAAGCATAAATATAGATGAGAGCCCAAGGAGATTGTATGAACTTAATGCATCAGTGCACCAGTTCCACAGAAACGCTCTCACGGGCCCACATAAACAAATCTCGGTGTTGCACAAAGGCACAGTAGGACCTTAATTTGTAATCAAAGCGCAAAGTCTGCAACTTTGGCTGCCATGATGTAATAGTGGGCTTCCTGTCCTCAATTTAGGAGCCACAAATTAAAAAAAACAGTTGTGCCCTAAGTATATATATGTGGAGCTTATGTGTTCAGTAAGTCCTCTGCTGTTTTCTCCGCACTGACTATATGGCTCCCAGAGGTATGATCACCGTGACAACCGCTCTCTTCTGCATCATACTGGGCCTACTCATTTCAGCTCCAGCTACCTGTAAGTTTATTTCATCACATTTAACTGCTCGTCAATCAGATTAAGACAGTAGATATTACATTAGGACTCTAAACTGAACTGATCAATCATGAATAATGCGGGGTGTGTTTTTGTGATGTAGGTTCCCAAAATAGCAAAATCTGTTGTACAAGATACAGAAGGAGCCCAGTGCCCATCCAGCGGATAAAGGGCTACAGAGAACAACCTGTCACAGAAAACTGCCGCATCGAGGCGATCATGTAAGACTCTCTCCTACTAAAGCATCACAACTCCGACCCTGAGAACAGCCATCTGAATCTTTGAAATTTGAATATGACGGTCATAGCATGTCAAACCTTTAAGAAAGGTTGGTGACAACTAAGAAACTGCATTGATTGGATGTATTCCAAAACATTCCAAAGACACTGATAATTACTTTTTCATTAAAAACGTTAAAGGTGTTGTGGGATGCAGTACCAATGTCGTGTTTGCACTTTGTCCTGTCAACCACAATATTCTGCTGTCAAAACTGTTTGAATGTCATAAGTCTAAACAGGCATTTCTTTGGTCTGCTCCGCATCTCAATAAATTATGTTTATACATTATTTGAGCTAAATCTGCCCAGTCTGCCTAAGACTGACAAAATCCAATCACACAGTTACACAAATAGCTCTGGGCATCAAACCTCAATACTTCGTGAGAACTGACCAAAATGTGTCAATATTACCAAGTATCGTCATAATCAGATGTTCCATGATTCAAATCACATCATTTTAGACATTTTATTTAAAGTTCCTGTAAGGCTGCATTATGTAAACACAAAATAATTCTTTGATGCATTTGAGAAACTCGACTTAGACGAACAAAAAAGTGTTTTTGTGGCAAAAACTTTTTGAACTCCTCATAAATTATCAAACAAATGTTTGTGCATCTGAATTGAAAGTACATTACATTTAAGTACAGCACTGAAGTATTAAATAAAGACCATTGTGAAAAATAAATTAAACTTGTACCACACACTCACACGCTGAACTATACAGTAACGTAGAGATCTCTCCATTTGTCTGATGATGTATCTGACTATTGCAGTTTCTACATGCCAGATAAGATTGAGGTATGTGCAACTCAGGAGGATGCGTGGGTGAGGAGAGCTCTGGCATTACTCAGGTATGAGACTCCTACTCACTTGTAAATACCATCTAGTTTCAGTTTAGACGTGGACCTTAAAATGAGGACAAGCTTTGCGAATTTGAATTTGCTTTTGCTTTTGCAGCATTGTGAGTAAAAACTATTTTTGTCTCCGTTATAGCTCCAAACTGCGGAGGATGTCCAAGGCCGGCTCAGCTGCAGCGGAAGCTAAGAAGAAAAGTGGAAATCTTTCATTAAATAATGGAAGTGGATCTTTCGTCAATACCACAGAAATGTTCCTAAACAACACTCAAAGTTTCTATTAGCTAAACCAGGTTGTGGCCTTAGAGAATTGCAGCTTAGAAATTTATGCTATAAAAGTGCCAATTTGAGAGAAGTTGAACCTACTGTAATCAAATCAGGTTGGTGATATTATCCCTGAAAAAGTAAAGAAATGCTTTTAGTTGCGTAAACATATGCAGGACCAGCTCTAATACAACACTATCAGGACTTAAAGGGAAGCGGAGGAGGAACAGCTTTGAGACAACTGCTGTAGATTAAGTGCTTAGCCATTTAACAATGTTTTAGTGAGCATTCGTTTTTTAATCATGCTTTTCTGACGACACTTTTTCTTCCCGACTGTGAATCTGCTTAATCATATTAATCAGCTAATATAGAAATTCTCATAAACAAATAAATGTTCTTGACATTACTCCAACACTGTTGTCCACATTTTTTTAATCAGTGTAACCTTATTGATCACTCAAAGCTCACCCATTCACGCACACATTCATGCAGGACTTTTCCTACACATAGGGCACTTTTCTACACACACACACACACACACACACACACACACACACACACACACACACTGATGATACATTGGGTGCAATTTGGGGGTAACTTGCCAACTTGGACATGCGGACTGGAGGAGCTGGGAATCAAACCACTGATCTTCCGATTAGTGGATGACCCACTTTGCCACAGCCGCCCCATAACCATGGCTGACATGCTGTTAAAATGAATGATTAACAGTGATTAAATACCAGTTAGTTATTTCAACCACACGTTTTTTCAAGTAGCATGTAGTAACCCTACTTTAAAAAGTTTCCGAGCAAACGATGACAGTAGAGACTGCTGCTCTGCATGGTGCATGTTTCAGTGGCGTGACATGTGTGCCTGATGCACTTAGAAAAAGGATGCTGCCAGCACATCTGCTGGAAGGTGTCTGAAAACTTTTCAGTGAGCTGTCCTGCCCTGTGAGCTCATGCAAATGCAGGACATGACTGACAGGGAGGCAGTCTCTTGTGCTATTTCAGATCAGCACCCCCGAGGGTTTGGTGCTCCAGTCAGACAAGGTGACTCCCTCAATGACAGATTCCTTTCAAAGAAGCTGCATTGCAGTAGTCTCAAGTCCCCACGAGATGGCAGAATTGATCTGTCAGAGTCTCTGTCAGCTACATTCTGGGAGCTCCATGGCTGTTTGACAAGCACAGCTACCTTTCATTTCCAGTAACCAACAACAATAACAAGTGTGGATGGTGAAAACAAACATTTATTTATTTTTTTTATAGCCAACAGCAGACAACTCTCAGCTACATTACTTTATACTATACATCATAGACATATTTTGTTACTTGTACATTTGTGAAGCTTTATGTTAACTGAACAAATAGCACAGACACAAATTATAAAGTAGGTAGAACAAATAAATACTGCCAATAATAAATATTAAATATCACAGAATAACATTAGGAAGCCTTTTAAATATTTAAAATTAATTCAAGACAATTGGCTATAGATATTTATAATGGTTATAAACGTGCTTTCTATGTGCTGGAGGTTGTAGGGGCAGGAGTGGTCTTATTGGCTCTGCGGGCCTTCCTGTAAAACACACAAACAAGAGATAACAGTTAAAAAAAATGTTCAAGATGTCCCTAAGCAGCACATGAAAATGTTGCTCAACATGATACCTCATGTCTGGAGTAACAAACTAGCATGAATAGTTAATACTGGAGACTGATTGAAATGATGAAGGCCTACTTACTCTAGCTCCTTGACCTTATCGAACACCCAGTCCTGTTTCCAGTGGCTGCAGACTTCTCCCTCTGTGGTCTCAAATCTGCGTCAAAAACAAGGCAGGTTTAGTCACAATTTCTAATCCAGTTTTTATCCAAGCAACTGCATGATCAACTATATGAAAGTTTTAATCACGCTTCTCTGTTTAATAAACTAAAAAGGTAGTTCTTACACAACAGCGCGGACACAAGGCAAATTCTTCCTCTGGATCCTGTAGCCGATGATGGGAGCAGTGATGGGCACAGTACTGACCTCAGTGCAGCAGTTGTTTACCTTAATTGGTCCTTTTAAAGAAAAAAGACAAAGATTTGCTGTTATGAGTGTACAGTTACATTTTTGTCAGAATTCAACTATTTTAAATGTGAGTGTCAAGGAGCAGACTAGCAGTGTAATATGGTACAGGATCACTAGAAATCAACTTACCAGAAGCCATTGTGACCACTGCCAGAACCCCAATGAGGAAAGCCAGGCACGCCACTCTTTTGATGCACAGCTGCATGATTACTGTGTGAGATGTTCCAGAGGTTCTGTGGAGAGGCTGAACGGTGGACCTGGCAGATGGAGACGACTGACCTCCTTGGCCCAGACCTCCAGGTTTTATACCAAAAAAAAGAGGAACCATGGCGAGCTAACCGGATGAATGGTTTCTTCTGGTTTTCTACAGTGTGTGTGTGTGTGTGTGTGTGTGTGTGTGTGTGTGTGTGTGTGTGTGTGTGTGTGTGTGTGTGTGTATCAGGGTGGGGGTAAGGACACACTTTGGTGACATGGTAGTTGATCATTTCCTTTTTTGCAATTTTAATGATGACATTAAAGAAAAGCTGACTAAGACATGTATACAACTTGTGGCTACAGCACAGACTTTCTTAAGAACTCACTTTTACTACTTTTACTTTTATCATTGTTAGTAACAGGTAAAATAATTAAACTAAACACATTAATATACAAATAATAAACCAATAAACCTGCTGTAATCCACTAATGTAAAGTTAATAGATTCCAGCAGGTGTAGACCACTTGGTAGTGTATGTTTACAAGGATTGCATTCATATTATATATAATATTTTGTGTGGAGTTAGGGTAAAGGTTAGGGTTCGGATTAGCATATTCGTACATTGTGCGAGTTTCCTCTGGGTGTTTAGTTCTTCTGCAGTCAACACAAATGCAGGTTTAGGCGATTTGGGAAATTAAAATGCCCGTACACACACAATGTGAACGGAAGTGTGTCTATCTGATTATGTGTTAGTTCTCTGATAGGCTGGCAAAAAGGCCATGTTGTACCTGGTCTCTCACACAATGCATGCTGGGAGATACTCCAGCTCACCGTGACCCTAGCAGGTTAACCAAGAATAGAGAACAGATAAATACACTGAATGAATGGGTGTTCATATTATGTTAACAACAGCGTTCTTCATTAACCTGAAAAGGTAACCATATAATAATAGTATAATCTCTGTATAAGTGTTACATGATTGCATTTGGGTTAAAAATCCTGCTGATTTCAGCAATAATGTAAAGGCAGCATCATGTGCTAGCCAAATGTGTCATCTTTCTCTATTATCATCCTTCATCTTTCTCTGGTGCTGACCATCATGGTCAATGCTTTGGGAAGAAAAGGGGAAGGAAGAGGATCCCAAGGCTTCCCACCACAAACCACAGATTTCCGAGCATTCCTCCACCCAAATTTGGTCATTCGTCCTGCCATGTTCTGACACTGCAGTTACAAGCCTCAACTTGTCCAGTGGGACCTTTATGGCTTAGCCAAATTAGAAAGGTTAAGAAATGTATTAGAATTCTTTATTCTTAAATAACACTGAAATGACTTGTCTTAAAAAGGTCAGCAAGTCAAATGTGACCTTTGTAGACCTCTGTTCATGATAACTAGAATTTTTGTTACTATAACTCATCTCAAGTCTCTGGCACAGTGTTCATCTCAGTGACATGCAGCTTACTTTCCCACACAAACTGCATTTGAACCACAAAAAAAAAAAATCACAGCCGTCCACTTCTCTATATTTTCAGAGAATTGCATTAACTATGAAGATTATTTTGATAGTTCCCATCATATTTTCTGTCACTGCTGTCAATCAACTGCAAGTTAAAAAGGTGATTTCAATTGTATTGCTGTTGCTATGTTTTAATGTCGATGTTTTCATGTCTTTTCGCAGTAAAGTCAAAAACAGGTCAAAAAAGCAGAACTTATGATCTCACACTTTTTTCACAATGATTTGGAGATGCCCAAAGCTCAATTTCTCAAGAAAGTTATATTTGTGACCTTTTATCCTAAGGATAAAGTATATTTGCTTCATTTCACAGACGCCTGCAGAAGTTAAAGGAATGTCGCCTATGCCAAAAGATTAGGTTGAAAGGATTCGCTGATAACCAAGAAAAAAGACGAGATGAAAATCACTGCATAGTTTATGTGGTTTCATGTGTATTTTATCATTTCATGCATGTTACAACAGAGACTAAGCTAGCTACATAGAGCAGAGAGTCAATGTAACAAAAGAAGCCGAGTTAATGCATAAGATATTACACTGAAAAAATTGATTTAACGCTTATAAATCTGTGCATCTGGTAAGGAAGTCACTATCATTATCAATCAATAACCCTTATCAATCTCTCAAATATACAGTATTTTGATCTTTAAACAAGAAGGCTTCAGAAAAGCCTGCAGGTTCCTTACCTCTGTAGTCTCCCTAGATTTATATTTCATCAAACTGTCATTTCAAATGTTGCATTTGTTACAGAAAGACTTGTTGATGTTAATTGTTTGCAGTAAATGAGTTTGATGATAACCTAGTATTAGATGATATTTGGAATACAACCTGTATTAAAATGGCTAAAAATGTGCTTCCACTATTCACAAAATCATCAGTGACTCATATTTATCTAATATTTAATAATCTGAAAAATTTAATTGTAAAAAGAATCTATATGAATGTATCCCAAAACATACAGCTTTAGACTAGACTGTGAAACCACCAGCCTCTATTGGCAGACATGTCAGCTGACACTGATTTACACAGACAGGACTTTACGGGATATGGGTCCTTTTTTTGTTTTTTTTTTAATGAAACTGAAAAATTCCTTGTCAGCGAAATGCAGAAATGATTCCTCAAAATGAGGAAGGAAGCATGAGCAGTGTGATCAGCTTCACTAAAATGAAGATAAAATTGGGAAATACAGTTTGCACTTTCCGAACATTGATTTTTTTTTTTTTTCCATGTGCCTCAGTCACATGGTTGTATTATGAGGATTTTTCAAATTCGTCAGTCCAGACAGACTGCTCCACTACGTCTGACTTCTCTCATATCATTATCTTTATGGGCTCCAACTTTAGACCAAATGACAGAACAATATACTACAAGACGTTTTAGAACAACCTCACAGTGATTCTTTGCACAGCAGACCTGTGGCACAACTCAGTGATTAATCCTGAGTCGTACTGATAGGCTGTCATTGAGAGGGGACAGGTTAAAGTCAATTAAACATAATGGACCCATCTAAAAAAAATCCACCTACACTGTAATTTTAAAAGCATCAGAACTTTTCTGACTTTATAAGTATAATCCAGGATTGGTTCTCATGAGTGATAATCCACCTCAAATTCAGCATTATAACAGAAAATAGCCTTATTAGTCATTCCCATAGCTTTGTCACATTTGAATAATTAACAGAGACTCATTCACACAGCCAGCCTCTCTCTCTGTGTGTGTTGTCTTTGTACAAGCTGGTGACAAACTACTTGGAATGTGTTGGAGACCACTGAAATTGTAATACATACACTTTCTATAAAGATGATGGGGAGTAAAACACAAATTACTGCTTTATTTATGCTACATAACAACATACTTTTAAACACAACAAAAAATAATAAAGGTCACAAACAACACCTCCTCCAAATTAAATGACAAAACACATTGTTTGCCATCGCCTTCCAAAAATCACAGACAGAGCCTTTTCTGAACATGAGTCATTGTGTACTTGCCTTCATAAACACTTACATATGACCATTACAAAAATCATTAATATAACTGTTTTCTGATCTGCCACTGCTATACATGAGCTTTACTTATTCAGTCACGACAGCTACAGGGGTTAGACCTGCAATAACAGATTTTTTTTTTTTTTTGCCCACTTGGGGGCAGCCAAAAGAAGTTGTGAACACAACATGGCAAATATTATAGTGAACAGTTTAACCAGTTTAAACCACAACCACTAACACTTGAACTTTCACACAAAAAGACAGCACTCCTGAAACTAAAATGAAAACACCATAGCTCCCAATTTTCTTCTACTGTTTGAGAATCACAGAAAAAGCTAAAGTGTTGTATCTAAGCATCTAGAAGTTCATTCTGCTCCTCTCCTTAGCTCATCTCTTTATGTGCTTTAAGAGATCACAAAACAAACATATTCACTATGGTAACACATTACACCTGATTAATGTAAGTCCAATATTCATTCTCCATTTAGAACTGTTTTGGTCTCTACCAACTCCTGAAGAAAACATGTGGCTCTTTAGTGTCTAAAGGCATGTGTATACTGGGCTTTTAGAGCTTCATCACTGAAAAAGTTGCCTGCTGTGGCAGAAAAGCAGTTACACTAAACCCAAGCTTTAAGTTGCGGGTCACACAGCTAAACGATGAGCTGAAACTTGCTTTAAAGCTCTGTAAAACCTAGGGGAGCTGCAATTCTCTGTAGGTTCATTACTATGAGCGACCACATTCAGATTACTGTTTTCACATTGTCATTTAATACATTGCTATTATAAAAATATAATTTATAGACACTTTAAGATTAGGAAATAATCACACTCATGGTTGAAAGAAAACAACACCTACTGATGAGGTTTTGAGGTGCAACAACAACATTATGCTACCTCTGCCTTTGTTCATGTCCACCCTCTAATTACCACTACACAGGAAGTTCAAATTCTTTTACTTCAATGAACTACATAGATATATATTATTTTCAGGGCCAGTTTTTAAAGCTTACCTGGAATCTGACAAAATCAGATATGCCCATGTCTGAATCCAGGGATGGTCCCTGTAGACTTGGTCTGCTGATCTCTTGCTGACGACAGCGTCTCTCTGGCTCTCACTCAAGACTCAGACTGTTAATAAAATTAATTAATTAATTAAATTTAAATTAAAATACTGCATTACCACAACATACAGTAAGAAAAGCCACTGTCCATGAATATGAATTAGAGCAGACATAGACAATTTACATCAATAGATCAATCAACAGAATATTAACCTGCAATTACTTTAATAATCAATTCATTGTTTGGTCAATTTTCAAGATTTGCTGCCTTTGTTTCTTTTACATCATAGTAAACTGGAAATGTTGGACAAAAATTGACAAAAAACCCAATTTGAAGACATCACACTGGGCCTGAAAATTTGATCTGGGGAAATTGTGATGGACAGTTTTCTTCATTACAGTGAGTAACTATCTGCTGTACATTTAAACTTACACTACTTCTACTCCAGCACCCAGAGCTCTCTGGTCCTTTTAGTGACTTTCACAAATTCAGCTGTTTTTTTACCTGCTGTTCAAATCAGCTAGTAACTTTAGCTTAGCAGTTAGCGCTAGCTTCTCTCTCTCTCTCGCTCGGTGTATCTTGAATCAACAGATGAACTTGTTCATCAGAGTGCAGTGTTGTTGTAACTTCAGTGTAGAGGACTGTGATGTTTATTACAACTTCAGTCATGTCTGCTGTCTTACCTTCGACACACGACTCTGGTTAACCGGAGGTGCTCTGGTCTGTGACCGTCTGTGTACACAGTAGTGTTCAGCGTGGTAGGCTATTACTCGTGACGTCTAACCAATCAGATGGCGCAGTGGGCGGGGCACCGCTGCACACTTGTTGAGTTCACTGTCAGATCTCATGGCCCGTTTTTTACATAAACAAACACTGGGGTCAATAGGAATCGCCCAGAAGTTGAAATGGAGAGGGCAGAAGAATAGCTAGTGAGAAGTGCTGGTACGCAAGAAAAAGTAAAGGTACGCTAAAGAGTAAGGTACTGCGTACCAGTGCGTACCAGCCCACTTCAGGCACTGCTTTTAACAAATGTTTTGGGCACAAGGATCCTCACTCCTGCCTGATGTCTCTGTGTTTCCTTTGTGACCCAGTTTTGTTTGTAGGTCTTGAGCACTTGTAGCATTCACGGTATTTAACATTCAAGCATGCACTTGTTAATGTAACTCTTATCTAATTGTTCCTGCATCTCTCAAGTAGCTTAACGGCACAATTGCATTGCAATTGTTGAAGAAAATTCACTCAAGTCCTTAGTTTCAAGTTTGCTGTAGTGATGCAAGTTTATTGGTATCCCAGGACACGGTGAGCCAACTGACACAGAGCGGGCCTGAGGCAGTAGACTGACCCAGAGTGTAGGGAGGGGGACAGTTATACAGTTGAAGACAATGGGATGGACAGCCGTATTTGCATATACCTGGGGTTACAGACATTTGGTCAGACAGGAAAGGAAATTAGAAACAAAAGTAATGTTCTCTAGAGGTCTTGCAGTGTAACACCTAGGTTCAAGTGATCAGGGGGGTAGGAGGGGCTCTTAGGCTGGATCAGCATATCCATAGGTAGGGCAGGCAGGGCCCCTAGACTGAATCAACATATCTACAGGTAAGATGTTGTTATGACAATGAAGCGCTGGTTATGTAAGAGGGAAGAAGGGGTATTATACAGGGACAGACGGTGGTTGATAAGGTAAGTAGTATCTCCTTGATCAAAGGATCAAGGGGCCAACTCAATGCTGTTATAGAGTTGTTCCTAGGTGTCAGCAAGTCTACACTGAAGACTGTGTATATTCTTCCTCACAATCCATGAATAAGGAACTGAGGGCACTCCAACTCAAATGTTTAACAGGGTGAAATGTTGCCATACTCTTCCTGTTATGCATGAAACTGCAGAGGTTACAACAAACCATGTTGGTTTCAGTAGAATACAACAACATTCTGTTAGAGTATAAGGGTACATAGTGTATTTGTGTTTGTGTGTATAACCTCACATGTGCCTGCAAATGCCTTGGACACTGCCTTTATGCAGTGTGGTTGCAGAGATGAGTACACACGTGTCAGTAGCACAAAGAAACACCAACCATCAAAAACAGTAGAAAGCTTCTGTGTTAGAAAGTGAAAGTTTTCTCCTTGTGTGTGAGTGTCATTTAAGAGTCTTCTGAGTTGTGTACAAATTATGATCACAGGACAGAATAGTTTATACTAACTAACTATCAAAACCAAATTTCACTGGGTGCTTTGCCATCAACATGATAATCATGAGAAAGGTAAATCGGTTATCTGAAAAACCGATCTGTGTAAAAAAAAGTGTCAATACATGTGCACTGAGCTCTTTAAAACAAATGTAGTGAAGCAGTGATATCATCTTCACAAAGATTACATCGAGTGCTTGATACGCTGGTGTTACAGGTCTGCATATTACAGACATTTTCCATATAATAATTTGAATTGCAAATACTATGATACATGCAAAGACCACATTCTCCTGCAGCGGAAAATGTGTTGACCCCAGACCACCAGATATGAGTGAGTAGAGGGGCGAAGATCACGGCGAGCTACTGTGGGAGGAAATATGCACTCTACTTTCCAGTTGTGTGCGTATCTGTGGGTGCAACACGCTCGAGTTGCAAGTGGCATAAATGAATGTGAGCACTGTGTTGGTGGCCTTAAAAGAGGATAGCAGTGCAGACTCCCCATCATATCTGTTTTAGCCAGACACACGCAATGACAAGTCTCGCCTTTGTCTCGCTTTTACTTGTGACTTCCTTGGTGTCCACAGCCACAGCTCAAGGTAAGTGTAATATGAACATATTTATGCATGTGTATTTTGCTTATTTATCTATTATTTCCTAAAAGGTGCAAAGTTTTCTTTAATGTTAGATTATGGTAATGATGATGATGTTGATGATGATGATGATGATAATAATATTAGTCTTGTATGTTTATTCAAAGGTGGGATTGGAAGTTGCTGTCGCCACATTTCAAACACTCAGGTGCACCGAGAGTTGTTGAAGAGTTACTATGTACAACATCAACCATCATGCAATCTACATGTTGTGGTGTAAGTCAACAAAACTATTCATTTGGTTAGTTTGTCTTCACGTGGTCTTGGGTGTTCTGATACTAACAAAATAAAATGTAGAACATTTCCATACCCCGATACATTTTATTTCAGAATTAACCAAATAATTGTTATTATTTCAGAATTCGTAAAATTTGAAACAATCAGTTTCTCTTCAGAAATCCTGCAACATGTTACTGACTGCGTATTTTCTGTGTTGTTTATTTTCAATAGATTCACCACGCTGAAAGACAAGAGAATTTGCTCTGCGCCCAGCAAATTGTGGACCCAGACAAGCATGGCTTTCCTAGACGGAAAGAACTGGCACCACCAACATACGACCTCACAACAGCAGCACCACTGACACAACGGCCACCTTCACACATAAAATACAACACTTTTGAATCTAAAATAAACAGTCCATAGCTCCCATTTTTTTCTCTACTGTTTGAGATCCACAGATTTAAGTTAAATATCTATTGTATTTGTTTGTTTTTTTGTTTAATTTTCAAATTCTGACCTTTTGTATGAATGTAAATATGTAAATAACTTGTTACTTTCATATTGTAATGATACTGAGCAACATTAGCTAATAAAACAGTTACAATATAATGGCTGCGTTTTGGTGATTGTGAGTTGCACAACAGCTTACTGTCTGCTGAGATACAAAAAGTTTTGTATCTCAGCATTTCAAAGTTGATTCTGCTCATCTCCTTAGCTCTTCTGTTTATGTGCTCCATCTCCATAAAAAGATCCCAAAACAAAGATATTCACTATGGTAACATAGTTGAGTCTGAGATCAGTGTCACTCTTAGCAGAATGAAAGATGGTAGAGATTCTTGTAACAGAGGATCCACAAGTTTCCAGTAGGATTACGAGACAGAGAGCCCAGAGCCAGTGGTGGAGGAAGTTTTAAGAGGCTTTAGCTAAGTGGGGATACCACACTGTAAAATACTCCTAAAATTCCCTACATTAAAAAGGTTATTTAAGTACAAGTGTGTGAGTACTATTGGTGAAATGTATTTAAAGTATCAAAAGTAAAAGTACTCAGTGCAGATTGATGAGTGTAACACTATTTTTTAATGTGTAGCTCATTTTAAATATTTTTATATGCCATTACAACAATGCACTGTATTTTAAAAGTGCATCATTTGTTTTATATGTAAAGTCTCAATTTAGGTAACTTGTAACTATGGCTCTGTCAAATAGGCTACATGTAGTGCCAGCATGACATGGCAACACTCAAGCAAACTACAAGTACCTCATGTGTGTACTTAACTACAACACTTGAATAAAGGTACTTAGTTATACTGGCCAGATCATTTCAAAACACAATCCAGAGTCGTGCTTTAAAAGAAGGAAGTAAGCTTTCCTGCAACAAATTATAAGGTTATAACGATATAATGATTATAAGAATGTTGTTCTTATTCCTAAATTCCTCTTGTTCCTAAATACACTGTTGATCATAAAGTTGGAATAAAATACTTTTTACCTCTTTCCATGAAATGATTGTGACAATGTGATTTATTTCATTTCACCTGGGTAACTGGGACACATAATGTAATCAATGCACCCGGTCAAAAGTGATTACTGATGCATTTAAATAGGAATAAACAGAGGATTGTGTGTGAAAACAAAATTATTCCAACTTTATGGGTAACAGTGTATTTATTTTCAGTAAGATAATCCTTAATGTCCCTTATAATTTTGAATTTGTAATGAGATTCTATCAGAGTGTTTTTTTCAACTCTATGATGTGAGGGTATCGTTTATGGGGTTTGACCACAGGGAGTTTACATGATTTTGTCCATCCCCATTACATACAGATGACATGCAATATATTGTATAAAGTTTTATATATTTTTTATATAGTATATTTTTTTGGGCTTTTTTATGCCTTTATTGATAGTGCAGTAGAGAGAGACAGGAAATGGGGAGGCAGAGAGAGGGGGAATGACATGCAGCAAAGGCCGTCTGATGCGGGACTCAAACCGGGGCCGACTGCAGCAAGGACTGTAGCCTCTACACATGGGGCGTCTGCTTAGACCACTACACCACACGACGCCCCAAGTTTTATATTTTTAAGGAATGTCGTGAGATGAAACATTTAAAAATGTATTTTAAAAAAATGGTGTGAGGTCAACCACACACAACCGTTTTATGCCGCCCTCATTCAACATATATTAAACCACAAAATAAAATGTCAACCCCACCACAGATTTCTCTTTAATAGAAAAGTATACTGTAAACTCTCTGAGTCATTCAGGGTGGAGACCATTCAATCATTTTCACCCAACCTGATGGCTGCCATGTTCCATCACCCCTCACTATGATGATGTGACGTGGTGGGTTTCAGGCTGACCAGGTGGAAGTTTCAGGGGCTTTCGGTTCACATGTTTCCATCATTTGTATCTGCTAAAAAAAACAAAAAAGTAAAGTGCCGTTTACTATGTGTGGGCTGAAAGAGAAAGTACAGCTGAGTCTGTTGCAGCTGGAGGAGGTGTGAGGGGCTGGGAGAGGAGAGTGTTTGAGGTCGATGCAACGTTTGCTCGAACCACGTGTTATGGGTTTTCCCCACCTCTTGCATAGTAGCCCACCACTGGTGCTACTTGTATGACTGAGTTGCACACATGCTTACACTGAATCGAAGGTAATTAAAGTGAGAAAAAGTGTGAATATAAATGTGATTTAGAGTAAATAATGTGAACATAGTGAAAGTGTGAAATTAACATATGGTTATAAAACTACCAGACTAGACCAGACTTTTGTTCTGGTCTTTACAATGCTATGCTTCTGCATATATTTTCCACTGGCATATGCGTCATTATAGTGTAGAAAGAGCACTATATAGGTTATGAACCTGACAAAGTTATGTTCATTGTTCAGTCTATTCTCTTTTTGCAAAGGGCTGTGGGAAGTACTTTACATAACTGCAATCAACAGCCAGAATTTTTTGTCATATTCATGCTGTGGGATAGAAAATGGCATATTTACCTTTTTTTGTTGTGTGTGTTAGATGTGTGCTTGGTTGCGTGTGTGTGCTTGGTTGTGTGCGTGTGTGTGTGTGTGTGTGTGTGTGTGTGCGCCCATACCCTAGTGACTCAAGTTCAGGATGATGTTTTGTGGAGTCTAGAGAAGCGTTGTGAGACTTCTCCTGATGGGTTAACCACAGAACGTCGTTCCAGCACACACTGTCTACATTACACACACACACACACACACACACACACGCACGCACGCACGTACATGCACTCACAAGTAATGTCAGATGAATCAGTCATAGTCATTCTTATATGCAAAAGACAATATAGATATTATTGTATACATCTGTGTTTGAGTGCCCTATTGACCCCAACTCCTTTATGGCACTTCCTAATAGGCTGTCTAAGCCTACATACAGGTCTAAGTGGGTTATGGTTAGGGTTAGGGTTAGGTCTCGCCTCAGGCCTGGGTTTATCTGTTCAGAATACCTTCATAATGTATCTCAGTGTCTCCTCAGATTAATTTCAACACTGTACTATCTTCCTTTGAAATCCTTTAAAGGGTCTTTTGACAGACAATTTTCCTAATCCCCTTTTTCTTTTATTTATCAGACGAACAGATGCAGAAATGCTTGTTCATTATCTCCAAGTCTACATGCCAAACAGGTTAGCAAAGACATTATACTTTAAATATCCAAAAGAAACGGGTCAAGATTAGCATTCATTTGGGTCCATGTGTCTGACCATTTGATGAATGTAAGTCCAATATTCATGCTCTTATGACTCTGTTTTGGTCTCTACCAACAACTCCCGTGGCTCTATTGTTCACCAGCTGGCGTTTGCTGTTTGATGCTGGGCAGTTTGAACTTTTTTTTTTTTTGGTGTGTGTGCTGAAAACAGCTGATCACCATCAGCTGTTTTAGTGAGAGTGAACCACATTGAAGTTCAGGGTTTTTAAACATTGAGCCGAACTGCAGAGTCGAGTGATAACAGATTCCGGTGCCACCTTTCACATCACACATAACATTTCTTTCTATTCTTCATTTTAAAATATCTATTATCAGCTTTTAATCTTATATTGTAAATCGACATGCCCTTATTGGTTTTCACCTACAGTTGTATTTGACAGTTCTGTCACACATGTTCACTAACGCAAAACCGCTGAAATATTGTGTCACACTGTGTTTAATTTTCTGCGAAAAGCGGACACAGTTCTTCTAATACTTTTCTGCCGAATTAGGTGACCACAAACACACTCGCACACAGAGATGCTCTAGGCGCCCTCAGGATGTGGTGGTTATGGTGGTATGGCAGCCATTCTGTCTCAAATAAAACCTAGCTCTCTGCACCTGAAACAGGAAGGCATTACTATAACGCAAATATCACATGCTCATTTTCTACATCACTGTCAAACTCCACATGTATCGTAGATAATTTGGTCTGAAAATCGTATTTCAACACATCAGCAACTGATAAGAAGAATTGAAGTGTGACCATTACTCTATAATAGCTAGACTTTCAGATTTACAATCTCAAAAGTCTGTGTTATCGTAAAATTAAACCTAAAAGACAAAAAAACAGGAAATGTATGATGTGAATATGCTGCTTTATTGCATTTAAACAGAATGTGTTTAGCAAATGACTGATAACAGAAATAAAGGTTGACTTTTGATTATTATCTATCCATCCAGTCACTCTGCCACATTCAGGAAGATTTCTTTGACATTTTGTGCACACCACAGTAAATGAAAAGATGATGTGATTTGCCGGCATAACATACTGGCAATTTAGTAAATGCACAATGAGAACAAGTAATTATAACAGCATGCTGCATTTTCCAATGGCAAATGACAAAAATGATCACAGTAAAATAATACAACAAAAACAGCTTTCAATGGACCTTCAGCGTTTCAGCGTTGACCTGCTCAGATGTAGGACTTGTGCATCTATCAGGTCAGTACACAGACAAGGAGCATCCTTCTTTGCATCTTCAAGCACGCCTTGCACAGTAAAGCTACTAACCAGAACAAAACTGTGTCAATTTTCTTGTATGTTGGTTTGTCCCACCATTTTCTATGTTTATACCCACTCGTTGTACATACAGTAACCGCTTCATCTATGATGTTCATCTTTGTCCATTTCTTGTCTCGGTTAAGATGTATTTTGTTGGTTTACTTCCTGCACATTGAGAGACAGATTCCATACGCGGATCAATTCTGATTCAGATTGTGCTCCATTGGTTTAATAACAACAGCACATTATTTGCTCAGAGAATACTTTATTGGCAGCTGACAGTAGGAAAGGTCAAGATATATACTTTGACATACACACACAAATATACAACATGGTATGGACATCATACATTTAAATATATACTGTGTATTTAATCATCATCATAATGATCTATAAAAGTTTATTTTTGCTTCAGGCTTGTTTACTGTTAATGTGATATAGCGTATATAAGACAAGCCCAAATGGAAAGAGTAATGTTTGCTGACAGTGGTAAGTTGGACTTGTCTTGCAGTTCCTCAACCACGTTTTCTCTTCCCCTTCATCCTTCTCCAGGTCGCTTTCCTCATCCGTTTCCTTGTTGTCCTGCGTCTCTTCCTTGGTGTTTTTTTTGATGTAGTAGACACTGTACTGGACAGTGTACTGGACATTGTACTGGGCGCCGTACTGGGCGCCGTACTGGGCGCCGTACTGGGCGCCGTACTGGACGCCGTACTGGGCGCCGTACTGGGCGCCACACTGCACGCCATACTGGGCGCCGTAGTGGACGCCGTAGTGGACGCTGTAGTGGACGCCGTAGTAGACGCTGTAGTGGATGGTGTGATGTCAGTTGTTGATCCCTGTTCAGTCTCTTCCATCTCTAGCAGTGCTTTTGTCTCCTGGTCCACCTTCAGCATGGCTTTTTGTACCCAGTCTTTCTCAGGGTCGGAGCAGATTCTTTTCCCTGCCTGCATCAGAAACCTGCAATTGATTGTGAGCTGTTAATGGCATCATACTGCAGTTTTAATGTTTTTGATTAAGTACTGGCTAATCATTTCTGAAAAGGGTTCATTCGAATTTAAACAAAAATGTGTTTTTTCTCACTTCCCTCTAGTGTTACCTAGCCACATAGATAGTTTGTTCAGGTTTTGAAATATCCAGGTTCTATGCACAGAAAATTGGTATTCAAAAAAAAAAAAAAATCAACAACAGCATCTCTTTGCAGACGGCTCCCCGTTACTCTGAATAATGCACAGTTCTCGCTGTAAACTGTTTTCAAAGGGACTGTTTCCCAGGAGAAAGTAGTTCCATTGAAAACTGATGACAGCTTTCTGGATTATCCAAAATGACAAAAACAATCCCTGGAAAAAGATGTAGCTGATTAGCTGTACCTGAAAACCTGGACAAGTAAAACGCTGAAATGTTTTTTTTTTGTTTGTTTTTTTTTTCCAAATTTGGTTGAACCCACCCAAAATGTAATGTTATTTATTTGTGAATAAACTTAGTTGATAGTTGCACTTACACTACAGCTGTGTGACAGATGCCTTCAGGCTGAATGGTGTAATTCTTAATTAGGTGAATGCGGGGTTTGGTGGTGGACCTTCTCGGACACAGGCAGCTCATTACAGGTCCATGGGCTAAACAAGACAAACATAGAGAAAGAAAGATTAAGTACCCTTCAATTTATGCTGGCAAAACATTCAGACCATACACTCAATGACAATTATGTACTTTTTTTTTCAGTACTCACCTGCATGGGCCACGCTCATCCACATCATGAAGCAGAGAAGAGTCGCCAGGAAGAATTTCATCCTCAAAATAACACTGTGGCTTTGACCTTTGGTGGCTGAGCGTGAAAATCTGTCAACACAAATGTTTACAATCTGAAACACTCACAGAAAATAATCTCGTTGCTTGGCTGAGTAGTCTTTCTGATCATTCAAGTTGTCATCTCCACTCTTATAAAATACAAGCCCTTCCGCCTCTCTCTCACACCTCTCTTCAAACCCGTCACCATGGAGGATAGTCACTGTGGCCACACAGTGGGGAGAGGAAACAATGAGCTCACCTTTCATCAGTCAGAGATGAGAAATATATCATTCAACCACAGTCCTACCCACAGTGCAACACATACAAATGTAGCATCACTCAAAAGTACAAATCCACCGAGAAAAGTCTAAACATACAAATAGAAATACTTGTCAGTTTCCTCTACACTCACTCTGAAACCCACAAGTTCTGTCTAGAGTCCCTGATAGTATGCAGTATTAGAAGCTAATAGAAGAATTGATTTTTTTATTAAATGTTAAATAAGGTCAGGGGAAATTTCTTGCAGCCCATTATCTAAAAATTATACATAAATGATTTATTCTTATCAAAAATCTGTGTTCCATATTTAACTCAAAGTAATGTTCACTTTGGTGTCAACCACATACACAATAATGACAGTTACGTTCTCAGTCACGCTTTGTTGAACAGCACTGTACATCCATGGCACGCCCACACAGGAGGTTGAAATTATTGTTGGCTGGTTCTCAAGATTGCATGTGTGTGTGAAGACGGTTTGACAGACACCTTCTTGACTGTTAGCCTTGTTCTTCCTGTTTCATATCAGTAGTGTGACATTTTCAGCCAAAACAAATTTGTTTCACCGGAATTGCTGTAATTAGCATTCTTAGAGGCAAAGTAAATCTTTGCTCCGCAGAGCTCAACTTTGGTGAAGGTTGACATGCAAATTCAGTTTGTTTGAGACCTCTAAGTATTGACAGCAGGTCCAAAATGGAGGAAGTTACCATATTAGCTGTGTTGCACTATCCAGCTTTATCCATAGTAGTTCTCAAAATGTATTTTTGCCATGGTCTAGGCTCCAGGTGTGTTCCCCTTTCTCCTTGAGTCTCCACTGTTATTCCACTTCTCCATGTGTTTCCTGTGATTCCTGTGTTGTCTGTTTCTCTCTCTCACTCCATTTGTGTGTGCTTGTGTGTCTCGGGGCATGGCATTCCCTTTAGCTCCTCCCTGGCTCCAATCCACTCCTCCTGACTGCTACAGCCAGGACACCTGATTCTCAACAGCAGTATTTCAACCCTGGTTTCCCAGTCACTCTTCACCAGATTTTTCAGTCTACCTTAGTGGTATACGTCTAGGCCTCTTTGTTAATGCTTGTTCGCTTCTGTTGGAAAAATTGTGATACTTTATGATTAACATAACCATCTTAAAGGGAAACTGTATTATCCTGAATAGAACTTTCCATTATTGTGTGCATTGTGTTTACTTTTAAGACAAGTGTTGTCTGAGAGGAGCGCAGTGACCTTTTGCTGATCCTCCTGACCACTACACCAAAACATTAACTATGATAAGGCTCTATTATGTCTGTCTCATTTCAGCAACAATTCAGGTCACTCTCACGTATTCTGTGTATAAGATTCTGTGGGAATCTTGCATCTGTTGAACATTTGCACTGTGAGCTCTGGTGTGTAACTTGTTCCCTTGCTGCAAGAATAAATATCCTTTCTATCTATCCTATCTCTTATAATTTTCAGATGGTGTTCCTGAGTTTTATTTGATAATTTTCCTAACAGCTTCCTTGTGGTTTGTTTTGAACATCAGTCTAACATCATTCTCTCCTGTACTTAAGGATTATTCATATCGAGTTTGCCTGCCTTAGGTCTTGTTACAACCTGTCCTTCCTCAACGGATCCAGCTGAGTCACTCATCACCTGTCGGCCTCTCTGCCACCTCTTCAGCCCAGCAGCCTCCATTCTTGAACCTCTGCTCCACCATTTTTCACCTGCCCACCCCCACAGCCTTCGTCCAGTCCAAACCAAGCCCCTACAATTAATGTGTATTTACTTTGACTTAGTTAGCAAATAAATATCACAAAATGGCAAAACTGACAAAGATATGCTTGAGACGAGCAATGTCATAGTAACAGAGTTTGTCCTCCAGAGAACACTAACAAGTTTTTTCAAATGCAAAATATTGCTGTGTATTTTCGCATCAGTTATCTCTACAATGAAATCATATCATATCGGTATCAGCCTGAGTAATCCAGTATTGGTTAGCCTCTAATTGTGACCTCCTGTGACCTCGGCCTCTAATTGAGCATCCCTCCGGCCACCATCTTGATGCTTTCAATGTTGTTAAACTTTGAACTCTGAGTATAATTCTGAGTCAGCGACGTTGCGAATTTCTGGCACTGATGATATCTCACACTTTGTGAAAAGACCTACAGAAGTGTCCACAAATTTTTGGCAGAATAGCAGCAAATGTACCACCACTGACTGTTACATCAAAATAAAATCCATTACTAGCACTAACACTATCCATTTAGCTTATTTTTCTAGAAGTTATATACCGTTCATATCTGGTTTCACTTGGTGAAACTGCTACAAATACGTAACACAACAAATCTAGGTAATATACTGTATCTGGTGTAATAACACTGGGGCAAAATGTGGGATATTTTTCCTTTGTCTGCATATACACAGCATTAGCAGAGGTCTAATCAGTCGGAATAAGTGAAAACACTTGTGGGTGTGTGAATGACCTTTGATTAAAGATATGGTGGCTTTTCATGGTGACAAGACAGTTTTAGTTCTATAGTTCTTAGTTCTATTTCCAAGGAGAAAAGGAATAAAAAATGTAATGTGGACGAGGGAGGAAATAGTATTGAAAAGTACATTTATATAATAGTTAAAGGGCACACATTTAGGAAAGAGGGGCTGTGAATAGTGTATTCAGAAGGACGCATACGTTAATCCTCAAGTTTTAACACAGCATTTAGCCAACTGTAAAGCCAGGCAGACTGCCATTATAATGGACTCAATTTAAAGCTTAAAATGAGTGAGAACGAAAGAAAGAGGATGGATTAAATGAGAAACTGAAAATGAGAGAGTGAAAAGGATATATAGAGGAGGTGAGGGCAACGGACAGGCAAAGAGCCAGACGGATAAACAGCAACACAAAGAACACAAGAAAAACTGAAACACAACAGGTGTGATTGAGAGAGAAAGATAGAAGAGAAGTGAAACCTTCAGTGTGTATCTAGGCCCTTTGATAGGTCGCAGCCATCACATCATTACACCAGCTCTACAATGACAGCAAAAAAAACAGCTGATTGGCCATCCACCTGCTGTCAGGATGGAAGGCAAACATTGTCTTCATGCCCTTGACTCCCTCAGTCAACAACAGCAAATCCCGAAGCACACAAATGCCCGTCGTCCCAAATGTCCAGTCATTAAAATCATTGAAAACTTGGCTGGTGTTTGTCTTCAGCAAGCACAATGCACAAACTGGAGAACATACACAAACCCACAAAGGCATGGAGGAACACATGCAAGCAACATAATGACCTGCCTGCAATGATGTACTCGGCACGCGTATACACACAAACGTACACATTTCTCCACACCCAATATCCCAGTCTCATCATTATCATCCCTGTGGCAACCTGTTTGTCAGAGCAGAAATGCCTCGCTGGATTATTCGCTCCTCTCTTATTCATTAGTTGTTGTGCTGGCCGGCGGCCAGGGCTGTTGGTTGGCCGACAGCGTAGCTGATAGGAATTAGTCTCCTGATAAAGCAAGAGAGTGGAACGTAGCGTCGCAGGAAATTACAATCAATACTGACTCTCATATCCTCATCCGATATCGACCACAAATGGGAATGAGAAGCACATTGTCGAGCCCCTATACAGGGACATGAGGGCATCCTTAAGAACATATTTACATATGGCCACACAATCGAACACAGAGGCTGCAGTAAATGGGACCGGGGTTTTACACAAGCCCACCTCACAACCAGAGCATATCGGTGAGTAAATGAATAAGGAAAAACAAACTCCTCTGCCTCAAACCACAACTTTCTGACCACACTGAATGCTTTCACACACCCACTCACCCACTCATGCATGATTCACACAGCCTACATCACATCTGTGCCCTCTGTCTACTCTATTACAGTAGAAATGGGGACAGACTTTTGGGACAGGCTGCGGCAGAGAAGAGTGTTTCCTGATATGAAACACATCGGTGGTGGGTGGGCAGCTCAAAGCAAACACACACACACACACACACACACAGGCACAGACACAAAGTGAGTGGCGTGTCTCAAATGAGACCAGTAATTAAAGGAATGTCTCATCAGATGGATATATTTGGCTGTGTCTGCCGTCTCTGTTTAATAAAGAATCAGCTCCAGACAGATCAAGGTTTAATTTTATCCTTTATCCAACACTGAGAATTCTTATTGATTCATTTCAGAAGATAAAGATACGTGATTCTGTCTTCTTCTTTTTTCTTTTCGTAGACTAGTAATGATCAGACAGTGTGATTAACTCACTCCTTTCTGTTTGTGTGCACATTCTGATAAGTTCATCTCCAGTAAGAAAAGCAGTCAGAAAACTTCTATAAAGGCCAGGTATGCTGTAACAAAGAGCTATGTGTCTGGCTTTGAGTCTGAGAGACGCTGGTGCCTCAGCGTGACAGGCCCAATGGCTGTCTTGAGATGGACTGTTGTAAAGAGCAGTGCACTTCAGGTCATTTTTAGAGCTAGGGAAGTGTTGGGAAGAGCAGAGATGTTTTTGATATGTAAGAGTGGAGCCATGCACACCGATCAATACACCGACCTTTCTCAGACTGATTGCATGATGTTCTGCTTTGCCCCCGGCCCAAGCACCCATCAGAGGTCCATCAACCATCAACCATTATTATTCTCTGTTCCAGCAAGCAAAGTATGGCCAGTTCACTTTTATTTTACCCCAGGACTTGTATTGTTTTATGCTTTCTTTCATTTTAGTTTTCTGTCTCTGTGGTCTTCACACACACACACACACACACACACACATAGTGCTTGTGAAAACTTATGAAAAAATAGGCCTATATAAATGCCTAAATGAAACTGGAGAGAGGTTGATCCTCAACAAATGAGGGCCTCTGTCATATTCCCCTGGGCCTCTATATGTAGGGTCTTATATTTCTGTTCAATA